GCGGCCACGGCCGACCCTTGCCGGCCGTCCGACAATAACTTCCGAACAAGCTGACCTCAAATAACATGTCATGACATATGAACTGAATTAATACTGAAAACATGAAAGTTTGCTCAAAGGACTAAACTTTGGCTGCGGCGGACGCACCGTGCGCCGCCGACGGCATTGTGCCGTTTTACGACCGAATCTCATATATTCTCGGCAATTCCAACTTAACTGAATGTGATTAATAATCTACTGAATAAATCACATAAAAATGCTCGAGAACAAGGAACTTAACATACTGAACAAGCGAGTACGGCCCGTGGTACGCTACATGCGCAACCACGTCACCTTTGGCCGCAGCACCGCAAGCATGATTGATCATCCGAACACTTAAGTTAAACTAAACATGATTTTTCATATAAAGGCAAAATATGCGAGGATAGTTCGGAGAATTTAACTTAGAACATAACATGATCGGCACGGCTTCTCGCACGGCTTTTACCACACATAACACGCATGCACGTCTAACTATAAAATTGAACTTAATAAACATGATAATCTCGGTCAACAACCGTCGGGAATTACCTCTGATTAAGCCCGAGTGACTAATCTTTTCGAATTCCCGTACTCAGCCGTGACCCTCCGCGTGTGTGCGACGCCGTGCGGTAACTTGCAGCGTAGCGTGCGATGGCTTGCGGTACGTGCGACGGACTACTACAACACTCGTAGATGCTTGTGTACGCCTGACCACCGAGCGATGTGCTGACTGCTGTGAAGTACTACTGCTACGCGTGCGATGCTTGCTGCTTGCGTGCGATTAACCGTGCGGTGTGCGATAGGGTGATAGTTTACGGTGCTCGTGGTACTCTCGGTGATTGCTCACGAACAACACTCAAAATTCTCACAAAATTTCACTTATCTCTCGCGGGACTTAGCATATATAAACTGAACTTAGGTGTATATAGAAGATGGAAAAATTTTCCCACCCAACACATCCTTATATACGGCCACCGAGTAGAAATGAGATGATGGAGTGACTATGTGGTCAATTATGGCTTAGGACACTTGTAGATGATAAACCCACTTAAGCTAATGACTATGCACTTACTTAGTCTTATAACATGCCACGTTTAAGCTACTTAAAAGTGAAGAAAATTGGGATAAAACACATCTTTTTTCCACTTAATGGTACGGCAATTTGGAGGAGTTATTTGGCTTTCCGTACGGCTTTAACTACTAACCTTGAGATTAATTACAAATTAAAGCTTAATTAATTAATTAAGCATAACACTTAATTACCAAAATTATTTCGAACGTAAACGGTACGTCGAAAATAATTTCCGGTAATTTCGACTAAACTGACTGAAAATAATTAATTCCGAAAATTAATATCGGAACTAAACATAATTTATACTGATAAAATATCGGGATATTACAATCCTTCCTCCTAGCAAAACTTCCGTCCTCGGAAATTCAAAACATAACTGATATACATGAACTATGTACGTAGGATAAAGAAATATGTACATTAAAACTGAAAATCTGGGAAACGAGCGCGAATATCGGACTCCTCCTCCCAAGTAGCTCCATGGCGATCCCACTGAATACGCACGAGGGGAATATCTCGCTTCTGGAGCCGACGAACCTGACGGTCTAGTACAGCTACCTGTCGCTCCTCGTACGATAGATCTGACTGAACCTGAATATCCGTATGAGGAATGACATGATCGGGGTCGCACACGTATTTACGCAACATAGATGCATGGAAAACATTATGAATGCCTGATAACGCGGGAGGTAGGGCTAAACGATACGCGACCTCGCCTACTCGTTCGAGAACCTCGAACGGACCGATGAAACGAGGGTGCAACTTCCCTCTCTTTCCGAATCGCCCAACTCCGCGAATCGGACGAACTCTAAGAAAAGCTGGCTCGCCAACCTCGAACTGAATGTCTCGTCGATGATGATCGGCGGAAGATTTCTGTCGACTCTGCGCTGTCTTAAGTCTCTGCCGGATCAACTCGACCTGATCTGCCGTCTCCTCGATCAGCTTAGGACCGAGTACTCGTCGCTCTCCGACGTCATCCCAATAAAGAGGGGAACGACACTTGCGACCTTAAAGTGCCTCGTAAGGAGCCATCTGAATGGAAGAATGATAGCTGTTGTTATACGCAAACTCAGCGTACGGCAACAACGACTCCTACTTAGCACCTCTGTCAACAACCAAAGCACGAAGCATATCCTCAAGCGTCTGAATAGTCCGTTCTGACTGACCATCTGTCTCCGGGTGGTAGGCTGAACTGAACTCTAGCTTCGTGCCCATCGCCTCATGCAAACTGTGCCAGAATCGACTGACAAATCTGGGATCTCTGTCTGATACAATCGTAGCGGGCATTCCGTGGAGTCGAATGATCCCACGGGTATATATCTCAGCCAACTTGTCCAGAGACATCTTCATCGAAACGGGTAAGAAATGCGAGACCTTAGTCAATCTGTCGACCACGACCCAGATAGCGTCGTGATGTTCAGACGACCTCGGTAATCCCGTAACGAAATCCATCATAACTTCCTCCCACTTCCACCTTGGAATCGGTAGTGGCTGCAGGAGGCCAATCGGACTCTGATGTTCGGCTTTGACTTGCTGACAGGTAAGACATCCCCTGACAAAGTCGGCGACGTCCTTCTTCATGCCTCGCCACCAAAATGACCCTTTTAGATCGTGATACATCTTCGTGCTCCCGGGATGGGCCAGATAGGGTGCGGTATGAGCCTCTGATAAAATCTCCTTCCGCAACGCCTCGACCTTCGGGACCACGATCCTGCCTCTGAACTCTAAGGCACCATCGGCACCTAACTTAAAACCCTCGACGCCTCTGGCGCGAACCTTGGCCTCCATGACATGAATGAACTCGTCAGAAGCCTGCTCTCACCGGATTCTCTCTCTCTGCGTCGGCTGAAGCTTCATAGCACTGACACTGGCACTGGTACTTCCTGAAACGGCTATGGGAAGCGAATTGATCACCTGAAGCTGCATCCGGGCAAACTCCTGAATCAACGGACTCTGCTGAGTAATGACGTACGTCAAGTCACCCCTCACCTTTCGGCTTAGGGCATCTGCGACGATGTTCGCCTTTCTCGGATGATACTGAATAGAGAAGTCGTAATCCTTGACGAGTTCTAACCAACGACGCTGTCTCATATTAAGCTCCTTCTGCGTGAAGATATACTGCAGGCTCTTATGGTCTGTGAAAATCTCGCAACGTCCGCCGTAAAGATAGTGTCGCCAAATCTTGAGAGCATGAACGACTACTGCTAACTCCAAGTCGTGCGTCGGATAATTCTGCTCATGAGACTTAATCTGACGTGAAGCATACGCGACGACCTGGCCATCCTGCATAAGGACACATCCCAAGCCCTGTCTCGAAGAATCGCTGAAGATAGTGAAACTCCGAGAAGGATCGGGAATAGTCAACACCGGTGCTGAAGTTAACCTCCTTTTGAGGTTTTGAAAGCTCGCCTCACATCGGTCAGTCCACTCGAACTTCATAGACGTCCTCGTCAGCTGGGATAGAGGGAGGGCGATCTTGGAAAAGCCCTCGATAAACCTGCGATAATAACCAGCTAAACCGAGAAAACTGCGAACCTCGGACGGACTCCTCGGTGTAGACCAGTTCTGAACGGCTGAGACCTTGGAAGGATCCACCTCGATACCTGCCTGAGTAATCACATGACCCAGAAAGGATACTCGTTGGAGCCAGAATTCGCATTTGGAGAATTTTGCAAACAGCTTTTCTCGTCTGAGGGTTTCGAGAACCACCCTCAGATGCTCCTCGTGCTCCTTCTGGCTCTTCGAGTAGATAAGAATATCGTCAATAAAGGCAATAACGAACTGATCGAGGTAGGGATGGAAAATACGGTTCATGAGGTCCATGAAAACAGCTGGAGCATTGCTGAGACCGAAGGGCATGACGACAAACTCGTAATGGCCGTAACGAGTCCTGAAAGCAGTCTTAGCGATATCTGACTCCTTAATCTTCAGCTGGTGGTAGCCTGATCGTAAATCAATCTTTGAGAACACATAGGCTCCCCTCAACTGATCAAATAAATCGTCGATCCTGGGAAGCAGGTACTTGTTCTTGATCGTCAACCGGTTATGGTCCCGGTAGTCGATACACATGCGCATGGATCCGTCCTTCTTCTTAACAAAGAGAACGGGTGCTCCCCACGGTGACACGCTCGGTCGGATGAAACCGAGTCGTAACAACTCCTGAATCTGCGCCTTAAGCTCCTGCAACTCCTTAGGCGCCATACGATACGGGGCTTTGGACACTGGACCGGCCCCTGGAATGAGATCGATAGATAACTCCACCTGCCGGTTAGGCGGTCCTCCTAGAAGCTCATCTGGGAACACGTCCACAAATTCCCGAACGACTGGAACATCATGAGGTGAACGTGCTTTCTGAGAATCGTCGACAAGGCTCACCAGATAACCCTGGCAGTTTCCTCGTCACAGCAACTTAGTGGCTTTCGCCATCGAAACAACATGAGGCAATGAACGATTCCTGGAGCTGAAGAAAGTGATTGACTCATCTCCCGGAAGATAGAGAGTGATCTCCCGGTCATGACACCTGATGTCTGCATGATAGAAGGATAGCCAATCCATTTCGAGAATAAGGTCGAATTCCCTCATCTCGAGAACAAACGCGTCGGTAGACAATACTCGGCCACCGATGGAAAGGCTAAAATCTGAAGCTTTAGCTGAGGTCACTATCTTTCGTCCCGAGGCCAAACTCACCTCGAGAGGATCGATACCGGTAGTAGCGCGAACTCCGATGGCGTCAAGACATCGTCGTGAAATAAAAGTATGTGTCGCTCCAGTATCGAATAAAGCAAACACAGGAACATTATTAATAATAACCATTCCGGACATGGTACCTGGCTGCTGCTCGGCCTCAGCCTGATCGACGGCGTAAACTCGGGCTTGCTGTTTGCCCCTCTGCTGCTGCTGCTGAGGCTGCCTCTGTGCCTGCTGACGGGGCTGCTGCTGCTGCGGTGGCTGCTGAGGCTGCTGCGCCTTCTTCGGACAACGGTTCGCGAAATGTCCGGGCTTGTGACAATAATAACATACATCCTGGCCAAAGCGACACTCGCCTCTGTGAAGTCGTCCGTATGTCGGGCACTGAGGGATCTGCTGTAGCCTCCGTCGGGTCCTCTTATTTGTCGGGGCACCTTTCCCCTTCCTCTTGTTGTTTTTCGGTGGCTGGGTAGATGGTAGAACTGGCATCGGTGGAACTGAAGATGACTGAGCAGGGGCGGATGGCTGGAACTGATCACGAACTGCCTCCCTCATAATGCTGGCGTCCACCTCCTGGGCAATGGAGACTGCACGTGCATACGTCGGTGTCCCGTGGCCTACGATGTTATGACAGACTGCTGGGTAAAGCCCGTCAATTAAACGCTGCGCTCGCTGGGCCTCCGTGCGGACCAAATTAGGAACAAAAGCTGCAAGTCTCGTGAATTCCCTCTCGTACTCGTCAACAGTACGAGTACCCTGCTGGAGCGATAGAAACTGATGCTCCATCTCTGCTCGGTAGTATGTGGGGTAGTACTTCTCGCGGATTAAATCCTTGAACATCTCCCACGTACATCCCGCCTTCTCGCCGGGACGCATGCTCCAGTAGGCGTTCCACCAGAGCCTGGCATCACCGGTGAGCTGAAGTTGAGCGCAAATAACGCGATATCTCTCAGGGCACTCCATGACCTCGAAGATAAACTCCAGGCCCTGAATCCACTCGTCTACTATGCGAGGATCTCCCTGCCCTGAGAACTTTTCGGCATGATAGTCGCGGAACTGACGACCACTGTAGCCTGAGTAAGAGGCGGATGATCGGGTTCCCTACGTGGCGGCATCTGAACATTGAGAAAGTTCAAAATTATTGAACACATGATGATATTATGACTGATTACTGAAGCACACAGATCTATTAACGAGTTGCCAAAAATGGCTGATAAATACTGACGTGAATCCTGAGGAACCCTAGAGTCATATCGAAAGATACTAAAGTCTAGAGTCATATCTGAATGCCCTGAATTCTAGAATCATGTCCGAACTCTAAAGTCTGAACCTGATTCGAGCATCTTAACTAAAGTCCTGATCCTTAATTCTGAGCATAGACAAAGTAATATGTTTATAACTGAAAAACTGAATCAGCACTTACCTGGTGTCGGCGAGGCGTGAGCGTGACGGTTCAGGTTTTCTGAAAATTACTGACTGAAAAACTTTTCAGAGACGCAGAAACGTGCTCTGATACCAATTGTAACACCCCGACTTTTTAACTTATCAGAGTACGCGTTTTTTCGCAATTCTCTGAATAAATAAATAAAATACTTATTTTGCGAAAACTGATTCGGGATGCTACCGTGAAAAACTTGATTTTTCTGAACACCGTTAAAATTTTTAAACTGATAAACAAAACGGTCATACTGTCTTATCCGACTAATGTCGGAACAAAAACTGAAAATGAGTACTGAAAGTTTTAGCGGAAACTAAGCGTGGCAAAAACATATATACATATAATCACAAATGTCCTGAACAGCCGCCCGCTCACTCCTCGACTCCGACCCTGCGACCTGAAAAACATGAAAAACGTGGGGGCGTGAGTACCAAAACACTTGTGCTCCGCAGAAACTCATACTAATGTAAACATCGTAAATAATAACAATATCATGAACTAAGCATATATAACTGAACTGAACTGAAACTGATATCTGATACCGGTCTGATCTCGCAACATAAGTCACGTAACTGATAACTGAAATCTGTCGGCATAAACTAATACCGCAATCTCCCGGCACAAACTAATACCGGACCATGTGCACACTCTAGTGGTTAGATTAGGCCACTAGAACCCAGAATGGACCGGCGATCATTCCGAGCGGATACTGAATATACATACCTCGAACATGGTAGCGTAATTATAAACAATGTAATACTTAGTCTGAGTCCCCACCTGAACTGCTGAAACTGAACGGTAGAGCTGATGCCTGATCAAACTGAAAATAATATAAACAATTACTACTGACTATGCTCAGACTGATAATTTAACTATTTAATTATGTTAAGATGCTCTATTGAATCTGACATGATATTCGGACTTATTCGGTATAACTGAAACCGACTAAGTACGAAACTGAACTGATAACTGAACTGAACTTGACCCGGAATTTTAACTGAAAATAACAC